ATCATTCTTCAAACATCATATTGGGAACGTTACTTTTGAATGTTCTTTGAACATTCCAAAACCAGTAGAAATATTTAGAAATATTTGTTAGACGAACATCTAACTTCAAACATTTTCTCCATGTGTTGTCGTTTTGAGAACAGACCAGGGGTGTGTTTCCCAAAAGCATCGTTAGCCAACTATGGTCGTTATCAGCAGTTCAACGAGTCGGTGTTTCCCGAAACCATCGTTCCACGAACATTCGCAAACAACATCGCAGAGTTGTGTGTTTGAGCGACAGATCTCGAGCTGCGGTTAGAAGTTTCTAGATTGCATGACATGTGGACTTAATAAATCTTTTTCTTGAGCAAAATAAGCAAGCTGACATTCAGTACAACCCGTGTCTTTTATTTAGAATACATACAAATGTGTTTTACGTCTTTGAGTTTGTCAAGAGATTTAAAGCACCGTTTTTGAAGAGTGCGCATGTGCGAACGTGCTCTACTGTGTAAGAACGAGCCGATGATTGAATCTGGAAATAAAGCGAAATAACTGAGAAAAATGAGAAATATTCCTTAGATGCATGTCTGTAATTGACCCTTCGCTAAGCCACGCCCGAAAACCGCCACTGGCCAATCGTGGCTTAGCAACCGTAACTAGGCGCGGGAGGTCTGTCAAGCTTTCGAGCGAGGCAAACATGCCGACGCGTCGTGCGTATGGATTGTGCAAATCTGATACCCGGTATTCTAAAAGTTTGGACGGTGGGGTGGCATTTTTTCTCTTCCCGAAACCTAAAAGCCAAAAAGGGGAGAAATCCCGGGCGTGGATCAAGCAGTGTGGAGACCCATTCACAACTAAATGTCGACAGGATTAACAAAAAAAAACGCCTATTGCTTGGAAATAATGGCGGTTCTTTGTTCATAATGCATATATTTGAACGTAAAATAAGACGATTAAAGGCAAGACGGAGGCTCACTGACATACTTTAAAATATGTTTCAGCATTGTGTTAATCGACGGCGGACGGCCTACTAACGTTAACTTTACCCCTGTAACTTTACCCCAATCCGATCGCGGCTCTCCCGGTGTTAGATTGATGGATAAACTGTTTGATTTAAATTGATTTGATATTAGATTATTTTCACATTTCACTTACTCTGCTGTGCATGAACATAGCTGTTCAATTTGTGTGTTTCCCATTTGAATGGTCTGTTAAGGAGGCGGCTGCTGCTTGCGCTGGGACCTAACGTTATAGGCTTTAGCTTCAATTTTGATGAAATTATTCTCTAATCGGTTGCATATTATGTCGTGGATATATCCCTCGAATGCATACTGCTGTCCCTTTTGTCTTGCTCTCTCAGATATTTCACTTGTTCGCCAAAAATGACTAAATATCTCCTTGGGAATGTCTGACACCGGTGCATTCACACTGTAATAGACGTGGCAGCCGCGAAAGCTTGACAGGCGTAGCAACAGTAACTAAGGAGGGCGGGGCTTAGCGAAGGGTCAATTTATATCAAAACAACTAGCATTAATTCGATCTCAAACAGTTTCATTAAAATTAATTATTACTTACTCCACCACGTGCGTGACGTCATAAACCAATGTGGTTGAACACCACTTTGCGAAAATATGGTTTCGGGAAACAGTCGTGACTAGCTAGTTGATTTGCATCGTACTATCATAGTGAAGCATCGAGTTACGGCGTTGTACAGGAAATGCTCCCCTGGTAACTTTGAAAGAACGTTTTATTAACATTACTAGAAAAATGTTTGTTCATAACTTTGAGAAAACCTTCTGAGAATGTTCCCTCACTGTTAGCTAGGGAAATTCAGCAAATACTACGGTCATTCTGCCTCCTATCATGCATGCAATTAACCGTTTATTATCGAGGCTGTCCCATAATGCACTGCTCCATAAGTCTGTTATTTCTTCTCTCATCCCTCATACCTGTAGCGTTGAGCTCCTATAGACCTCCCAATTGATTTTTCACACTTGAGTTTCTGCTTCTCTTGGCTGAGCGCTGCATTGATTTTCTCGGTGTCTTATGCGAGATCACCATTGTCATCTATTCCACTCACGCCTTCCAGATTATAGCCAATACTGCCTGAACTTCACCTCACATTACGAGGTCACAGATTCTGTGTCTCCTGCAGTTTACAGCCTCTCCTTTATAGAAATGTTGTCGTAGTTGTCTGTTTTTGCAGACATTAAACCCTGGGTTATTGTTGTTAATTTTAACTAATACTATTAAATGTTTCTGTTAATTGAAATGAGGCTGAAATAAAATTAAATATATAAGTGTTAAATGGAAAAACTTAGTCTAAATGAAAATTAGAAATGTATCAAAAATAAGTTTAATAAAAATACTAATTGGAAATAAATTATAACTTAGACTGAAATAAAAATTAATTAAACCTAAATACTAATATTTTAAAAAATAAGAATAAAATTACAAAAATTGAATGACTTAGTTAATTTAAAATTAGAAATAAAATGACTAAGTTAACTTAAAAATGTTTTGCTATAATAGTAATACTGAAATAGCATTCATTAAACCCTGACATATCCATTTACCTGTGTTGTAACTGCTGTATTTTTACTTTCAGATCTACTGAAAGTAAGATCTACTTTTTAAGTAAGGAAACTTTGAATTTGGACCTTGTCTATCTAAAGTATATGCTATAAGTAGAAGTATAGACCAATCATAACAGGCTGGGCCATCTGACCAATCAGAGCAGAGTCGACCAATCACAACAGACTGAGCCTTCTGACCAATCAAAGCAGAGTCGACCAATCACAACAGACTGAGCCATCTGACCAATCAGAGCAGAGTAGACCAATCACAACAGACTGGAACATCTGACCAATCAGAGCAGAGTAGACCAATCACAACAGACTGGAACATCTGACCAATCAGAGCAGAGTTGACCAATCACAACAGACTGGGCCATCTGACCAATCAGAGCAGAGTAGACCAATCACAACAGACTGGAACATCTGACCAATCAGAGCAGAGTAGACCAATCACAACAGACTGGGTCATCTGACCAATCAGAGCAGAGTAGACCAATCACAACAGACTGGAACATCTGACCAATCAGAGCAGAGTAGACCAATCACAACAGACTGGGCCATCTGACCAATCAGAGCAGAGTAGACCAATCACAACAGACTGGGCCATCTGACCAATCAGAGCAGAGTCGACCAATCACAACAGACTGGGCCATCTGACCAATCAGAGCAGAGTAGACCAATCACAACAGACTGGGTCATCTGACCAATCAGAGCAGAGTAGACCAATCACAACAGACTGGGCCATCTGACCAATCAGAGCAGAGTAGACCAATCACAACAGACTGAGCCTTCTGACCAATCAGAGCAGAGTCGACCAATCACAATAGACTGGGCCATCTGACCAATCAGAGCAGAGTAGACCAATCACAACAGACTGGGCCATCTGACCAATCAGAGGAGAGTCGACCAATCACAATAGACTGGGCCATCTGACCAATCAGAGCAGAGTAGACCAATCACAACAGACTGGGCCATCTGACCAATCAGAGCAGAGTCGACCAATCACAACAGACTGGGCCATCTGACCAATCAGAGCAGAGTAGACCAATCACAACAGACTGGGTCATCTGACCAATCAGAGCAGAGTAGACCAATCACAACAGACTGGGTCATCTGACCAATCAGAGCAGAGTAGACCAATCACAACAGACTGGGCCATCTGACCAATCAGAGCAGAGTAGACCAATCACAACAGACTGGGTCATCTGACCAATCAGAGCAGAGTAGACCAATCACAACAGACTGGGCCATCTGACCAATCAGAGCAGAGTAGACCAATCACAACATACTGGGTCATCTGACCAATCAGAACAGAGCAGACCAATCACAACAGACTGGGCCATCTGACCAATCAGAACAGAGCAGACCAATCACAACAGACTGGGTCATCTGACCAATCAGAGCAGAGTAGACCAATCACAACAGACTGAGCCTTCTGACCAATCAGAGCAGAGTAGACCAATCACAACAGACTGGGCCATCTGACCAATCAGAGCAGAGTAGACCAATCACAACAGACTGGGTCATCTGACCAATCAGAGCAGAGTAGACCAATCACAACAGACTGAGCCTTCTGACCAATCAGAGCAGAGTAGACCAATCACAACAGACTGGGCCATCTGACCAATCAGAGCAGAGTCGACCAATCATAAAAGACTGGGCCATCTGACCAATCAGAACAGAGCAGACCAATCACAACAGACTGGGCCATCTGACCAATCAGAACAGAGCAGACCAATCACAACAGACTGGGCCATCTGACCAATCAGAACAGAGCAGACCAATCACAACAGACTGGGTCATCTGACCATTCAGAACAGAGCAGACCAATCACAACAGACTGGGTCATCTGACCAATCAGCGCAGAGTAGACCAATCACAACAGACTGGGCCATCTGACCAATCAGAACAGAGCAGACCAATCACAACAGACTGGGCCATCTGACCAATCAGAACAGAGTAGACCAATCACAACAGACTGGGCCATCTGACCAATCAGAGCAGAGTAGACCAATCACAACAGACTGAGCCATCTGACCAATCAGAGCAGAGTAGACCAATCACAACAGACTGGGCCATCTGACCAATCAGAGCAGAGTAGACCAATCACAACAGACTGGGCCATCTGACCAATCAGAGCAGAGTAGACCAATCACAACAGACTGGGCCATCTGACCAATCAGAGCAGAGTAGACCAATCACAACAGACTGGGCCTTCTGACCAATCAGAGCAGAGAAGGCTCTCAGAAAGGCGGGGTTTAGAGAGACAGAATCCTTTATCAAGCCGTTTCAGAAACTGTGAGAAAAGAGCTGATGCTGCAATGTATATTATGAGAAATTAAAAAAAAAAAACCTATTGTTGGAGACTCCAAAACAAAAATAGGATCCTTTAAAATAGCATAATAGGGGCACTTAAGTTTAGCATGTCTTCTCTCTCGTCCTCAGGCCTTCAGCCAGGCGTACACCACTCAAAGGAAGGTGGCTGAAGATGGGGAGACCAACGAGGAGACGTTGCTGCAGGAGTCGGCCACTAAGGAGGCGTATTACATGGGCCGCCTGCTGGAGCAGCAAGCCGAGCTGAAGAGCAGCAGATCACAGGCGTCCTGCACACAGGCCGAGAACGACAGACTCGGCTCCATCCTACAGGAACTGAGAGAGGTCAGAAACCTGCTCAGACTTGAGTGTGAAGGGGTTGGGTTTGACATTGCAGATGTTTCCCTGTGAATGTGTGCTCACGGTTTTGACAGGTGTGCCTTTTTTAAAGGGAGAGTTCACCCAAAAATGAAAATTACCCCATGATTTACTCATCCTCAAGCGATCCTAGGTGTGTATGACATTGTTCTTTCAGACGGATACAATCGGAGTTATATTAAAAAATGTCCTGGCTCTTCCAAGCTTTATAATGGCAGTGATCGGCCGTATATTTTTTGAAGTCCATCAAAGTGCATCTATCCATTATAAAAGTGGTCCACACGGCTCTGGCGGGATAATAAAGGCCTTCTGAAGCGATGCGATGCGTTTGTGTATGAAAAATATCTATATTTAAAACTTTATCGACTAAAATAACTAGCAGACGGCCTACGCATCAATTTACAGCAAAAGAGTAACACTTGACCTTTCACATATGCTGCGTTTGCAGTGCGCAACTGATCCGCGGCTGTACCACAACACATTTGTATTTCAAATCCAGAAGTTATCTAGCCTGGCTAACGTCAGGCCTCTTCTCATTGACACCACATGTTCATTTTCTCGTATTTGAGGCGTGGTTTACGAACGCCCAGAGCCGTTTATTGGGTGCTACGAATGTCTATCAAATGCGCCTGTACGTAGCTCATAGCCAATCGTTTCAATTATACCAGATGACGTATGTAGAGCGACAGAAATTAGACGAGGAAGAAGACGATGGGTCTGAGATTTATTTGCGTTCTAAACTACTTAGAACAATATCTAAGGCTGCATCGAAAGGTAACTTCGCGTCTGCTGCCATGTTGGATCCATAGGTATAAACAAACTGCTTCGGTGTGTCGCATAGACGCAGTGTTTCCGCTACATTCATTCTGCCGTGGCGGGCCGCCACACCTAAAATCATCCCGCCACGGCTGCAGCTTCTCGGTCCGATATTGTATGTGTTATTGTTAAGCCCCACTAAAGGCATACAAAACATTGTAAAGCACCATACAGTTTTCGCACTATATTCCAAGACTTCTGAAGTCATTCAATAGCATAATGTGAGGTAAAAATGTATATTTAAGTCTTTAAGTTAAAGTTAATGGAAACTCATCTCTCCTCAGTCATTCTCCATTCAGCATTCAAACAGTGATATGTTCACGTTCGCTTACGACAGTAACACGACGACACTCTCTTCAAGATCAATGTTCCCATTATTATTCTTTATTTGTAGATAAAGGTCTAGAGTTTGCATAAAATTACTTTATCTTGCTGGAGTTTATAGCGCTTTCTAAATCATATTCCTTTCTCCCGGGTGTCTGTTACTACAGCACTCGAGCAGAGAGCACTATCATTTGTTCTTCATGCACACTGTAAGTTAACTAAAATTTAAAACTGTTAAGAAAAGGCTCAATAAACTGTTGCATAGATATAATACATTAGGCATAGATAGATATAATCTCTTCGCTTTGTGCTTTGAACTTTTCAATGCGAAGCGCTGCACGCTGTGACTTCGCGTTGCTTCAAGTGCATCATTCGGCGCACGGGATGCGCATAATCGCTTAGGGGAGGTTTAAACACCTGGGATAAGGGGGCGTGGCCTATGGGAATATCACTCATGGGCCACGCCCCCTCCCCCTGGCGAAATGGGCCTGCCACCACGGCTGGAAAAAATCCTAGAGGAAACACTGAGACGTCGTCATCGTCTTGCTGCTCTCTTCCCGTTCTGTGATTGGTTCCCTAGATGAGGCGAAAAATTTGGTCCATGGTATCCAGACACCTAGCAGCGTGAATAAAATCGGGCTCACAAAGGCAGTATGGGGAAACCCAGGCTAGAAGTTATCAGCAACTTTTATTTAAAAAAAGTTGTGTCACCAGTGCGATTCTCTTTGTACACATACACTCTTTAATAGACGTTTAAACACAATTTAAACAACGTATTAGGCTATTCAATGCGTTACTTCTATATTATTAAGTTGCTCAAGCAAGTGGTAACATTTAACCATGTACCTTTTCTTTTGCTTAATTTAAATCTTTATACAATAAATCTCACAAAGAACTTGTTTTTCCACCTCCACGAATGAGACGAGTGTCGTTCATTATGTCCTTGTTGAAGTAAATTGTAGTTTTCCTTGCTTTACCCCGGTCTTAAAATAAAAAGAGTACTGTGAAAAATAGTAGTATTTAATTAAATGCATTTATGGTGAGATTACTACATTTTCATGTCAATTTGTGTTCATTTTGACCACGAACTAACGGGCGTTACTCTTTTGGCGTAAGTCGACTTGCGTAGGCCGTCTGCTAGTGATTTTAGTCGATAAAGTTTTAAATATGGATATTTTTCATACACGAACGCATCGCTTCCCTTCAGAAGGCCTTTAGAGCCGTGTGGAGCACTTTCATCATGGATAGATGCACTTTGATGGACTTTAAAAAATATACAGCCGATCACTGCCATTATAAAGCTTGGAAGAGTCAGGATATTTTTTAATATAACTCTGATTGTATTCGTCTGAAAGAAGAAAGTCATACACACCTAGGATGACTTGAGGGTGAGTAAATCATGGGGTAATTTTCATTTTTGGGTGAACTATCCCTTTAAATGGTCTCTCTTTCTCTGTTTCCGTCTCTTTGTCTCTCAGAGTTATGAGATGTTAGATCTGCAGAGAAGCCGGATGAGAGAGGAGATCAGGGAGTATAAATTCAGAGAGGCCCGATTACTGCAAGACTACACCGAACTAGAGGAAGAGAACATCTCGCTGCAGAAACTGGTATCCACGCTTAAGCAGAACCAGGTAAACACACACACAATTACTCCGGTACACTGACACCGTTCTGGTACCCAATCTAGAACCATTGGACGCATTTCAACTGAAGAACAGTAGGTTCAGGGGCAGAATTTTTTTTTTCTTTGCACTGGCTCTTATGTTCTCAGAATGAAAACGCGATACAAACACAATAAAACAAAACTAATTGATACAAAACTAGATGATTTCATTATATGCATTCAGTCGACAGACTCCGTGTTACTATTTTTGTTGTTGCACAGCTACTCTAGCCACTTTTATTTTCCCCATCCATCTGAAATACATTAACACATCGGTTCCCAACAGGGGGGTCGCAGCCCACAAGGGGGCTCTGTGGGGGGTCGCGTCATATTTTGAAAAGTTTGAGCAATGAGCATTAAATAAAAGTCCTTAACTTTTTTCTGTTCAAAATTTACAAAATGTATAATGAGCGAGTTCATCATGAATCCATTTTCCAAACCGTGTTTTTGTCTTATCCTGAACCACTATGGTACACACCTATAATAAGTGTTTACATTGGGACTATTTTACACTGGTTCGGATGCTGCTGCTGCGGAGTAGCCCAGTACCTGCGTGACTCGTCATAGACGTACACAGAGAGAAGTAGTTCCGGCTACAATGTTCTTCCGAAAGACGCATTATTCTCTTAATAAATGCAAGTTTAGTATCGCTCGCTATAGCGCCAAAAGCTTAAAAAATAAAGCCTCACATTGATAAAGCCTCACAAATAACATGCAAGTATTGAGGCCCCAGACAGCAGTCATTTAGTAATAGCCTGTATTCTTTTTTTCTTTTTTTTACCTACACACCAGTGTGAATATTTTTGTTTTTGCATTTCAAATAGGGCCAATTTATAGGCTTCTCCTAGGCTTACGTTTTTAAATTACAAAGGGACTACTGATGTTTTTGTCATTGTATTTTCAATGTTATAGGCTATTATTTGAGCATAAATATACCGTTTGTTTGAAAAAAAAACATATTTTGTCATCCTTGCTGCAAGCTTACAAGAGCGATAATATCAGTAAATGTGAAGGGGGGCCCTAAAATATTTTCTTGGGAAAAAGGGGGTCTCAGACAAAAAAAGGTTGGGAACCACTGCATTAACACATACAGTCAAACCAAAAATTATTCAGGCACCTTGCTAGCCTAATATAAATTAACTATAGAGTCCTGCATCCACTATAAAAAAAATGATATATGGTGTCTGAATAATTTTTGGTTTGACTATTAATATAATAAAACCATGCATCATGATTGTTTGTGACAGATTATGTAGGAACAGTCTCAGATATTTCCAGAATCAATGCGAATGGTTATTCTTCATTCTTTCAGGTGGAGTATGAAGGCCTGAAGCATGAAATCAAAGTTCTGGAGGAGGAGACAGCCCTGCTTAACAGCCAATTAGAAGATGCCCTGCGCCTGAAGGACATCTCTGACAGCCAATTGGAGGAGGCTTTGGATGCTCTGAAAAGTGAGCGAGAACAGAAGAACATTTTGCGTAAGGAATTAGCACAACATCTAACCGTGTGCGACGGGGCTTTCAGCTCAGGCTGCGCTCATCTGATCGCCTTCAGCTCGGCGCCACCTAGTGGCAGTGCAACCCCGACAGCCGCCACATCGCCCAGCAGTGAAGACGGTGGAAAGTGCAATGGGCTTCTGCTCCAGGGCGCTGCGGGTTCGGTGCTGAACCGACTGAACGGAGATTTCAGGCCTTCGGGTTTGAGGAAGAGTGAAATTTTGACCCCTGACCTCTTCAGTGAGCTCAATGGCCCTGAGATCCTGAAACTCAGACAGCAGATTCAGCAGGTCAGTGTGAAGGGGCGGGGCATGTTCACATAACATAACAGTAGAAACATTTCTATTAGCATACATTTATTTTTATATAGCAAAGCTTTATGTTGCCAATTTACCTCTTTAATAATTATTTTATATACACTACCTGTCAAAAGTTTTGGATCGGTAAGATTTTTAAGGTTTTTAAAGAAGTCTCTTATATGTTCACCAAGTTTGCATTTATTTGATCAAAAATACAGTAAAAACAGTGAAATATTATAACAATTAACTGTTTTTTTTTATTGTAATACATTTTAAACTGTAATTTATTCCTGTGATCAAAGCTGAATTTTCAGCATCATTACTCCAGTCTTCAGTGTCACATGATCCTTCAGAAATCACTCTAATATGATGATTTGCTGCTCAAAAAACATTCATTATTATTATCAATATTGAAAAGATTTTTCAGGATTTTTTGATGATTAGAAAGTTCAAAAGAACAGCATTTATTTGAAATAGAATCTTTTGTAACATTATAAATGTCTTTACTGTAACTTTTGATCAATTTAATTCATCCTTAAATAATAAAAGTATATATAAATAAAAATAAAATGACCCCAAACTTTTGAACGGTGGTGTGTAATGTTACAAAAGCTTTCCGTTTCAGATAAATGCTGTTCTTTTGAGCTTTCTATTCATTAAAGAATCCCGCAATAAAAATGTAAATCACTGTTTTCAACATTGATAATAATGAGAAATATTTCTTGAGCAGCAAATCTGCATATTAAAATGATTTCTGAAGGATCATGTGACACTGAAGACTGGAGTAATGATGCTGAAAATCCAGTTTTGATCACAGGAATAAATTACACTTTGCTATATATTTATATATAAATAGTATTTCACAATATTCCTGTTTTTTGTTTTTGTTTTGTTTTTATCAAACAAATGCAGCCTTGGTGAGCAGAAGAGACTTCTTTTAAAAACATTAAACCCAATCCAAAACCTTTTGATAGTTTATGTCTGATTAGGTGTTTTTGAATATTTTAAAATCATGTTCCTAAATAGTAGGAAACGACTGCTGCATTGGTTTAGGCGTTGTTCTGTTTACAAAGGGATGCTGCAGTGTCCTGGGATGAAATATGAGACCACCGTATGCACTAATGGGCCATGCTACTGGCTTATTTATATCCTTCCCATCACAAGAGTCACTGTTCTTATAGTGCAAGTTCATTTGAGTCATATACATACTGTATGAACTTTGCATCCATGTTAAACATTGACTATGTATTAACCGTGGATGTGACAAATGGCCATAGGGAACACTTTCTAGTGTAAATATCATTATTCCTGTAGTAGATAATAGCAAATAAAAGTTAAAACGGGAAGGCTTTGCTGCTTTTCAAATGTTTTTTCCTGGGACAAAGACCCCAGTAATCTCGTTCTTGTCTCATTTAGAGTTTCAGAAGAGCTCTCAATATGTGCTCAGATATGTCCTGGTTATTCTCAATCAAAAGCATTTTTTGCCAAGATCAAACTATTCAAGTCCTGCTGGGAAGTTTGTATTTACGAGACGGGAAGTTGTAATTACAACGTCAGGTGTGTTCAAATCACCCTTTCGTACCCTTTCTACAATACAGGTTTTTTAACTATAATTCTAAAAAATTCAGATAAATAATGTGCATTAGTTGTGGTTTTGTGCTTTTATTCAATTTATGAAGGTACTGCCAACTGAATTGTTATATATTCTATCGTAATTGTACAATACGATCATATTTTCTACATGCAACTTGGCAGGTTTTACATTTCAACAAATTAACCATAACTACTGACGCTGCATCCACTGTGTCGTCCGCCATTATTCCTCAACTCTGAAAAAACGAGTCTCAAAGAAAATCCCAAGTGATAATTACGACATTGTGGCGCTGTTTAACTCGTAAATATGATCTTTCCATTATGACTTCAATGCACCATATTATTGAATGCATATGAGCAATATGGATATACATATGAGCAATCTCTGAGCAATAAAAGGTTACCGGTAACTTAAAATAAAACAAGAATTTTATCCAATTTTCAGATTTCTGTTCTGGAAATGCATGCAATTAAGTGCATATTTAAAAAGTTTAATGTCTCATTTCCATATTTAACCATAACATTTCAGAAAACTTGTAATACAAAACAATTGCCGTAATGTACTTTGATTAATCAGCTGTGGAAAGCATGGTGATATCTATAATTTTTTCAGCTAAATCAGCTGCTGGTGAGTTATTTATTTTATTTATTTAATGTTTATTTGACCGGGACAAATGCATAAAACATTGCTTTATAAAGAATACAAAGCAGATGCCATGCATACAGGTTTCTAGCCATGACTAATTTGCAACCCCTGTCCCTGGTTAGGCTTACAGAGTATTGAGTTTAAAATATATAGCTATTCAAATACATACAATAAATACATCCCATACATGAGATAAGATAAGGGCTTAAAGGATTAGTTCACTTTTAAAAAAACTTTTGCTGATAATTTACTCACCCCCATGTCATCCAAGATGTCCATGTCTTTCTTTCTTCAGTCGAAAAGAAATTAATGTTTTTGATGAAAACATTCCAGGATTTTTCTCCATATAATGGACTTCAATGGTAGCCAAACGGTTCAAGGTCTAAATGACCGTTTCAGTGCAGCTTCAAAGGGCTTTAAACGATACCAGACGATGAATAAGGGTCTTATCTAGAGAAACGATCGGTCATTTCAAAAATAAATAAAAAAGTTAAAGTTTTATAGGCACAAATGCTCGCCTTGCGAACTCTCCTGTTCGAACTCGTTCATCGAGTCATTGACTCGTTCATCAAAATGAACGAATCATTTTTCGAGTTCATTTTGATGAACGAGTTCGAACAGGAGAGTTCGCAAGGCGAGCATTTGTGCCTATAAAACTTTAACTTTTTTATTTATTTTTGAAATGACCGATCGTTTCTCTAGATAAGACCCTTATTCATCGTCTGGTATCGTTTAAAGCCCTTTGAAGCTGCACTGAAACGGTCATTTGGACCTTGGACCGTTTGGTGCCCAGCAAAGTGCATTATATGGAGAAAAATCCTGGAATGTTTTCATCAAAAACATTAATTTCTTTTCGACTGAAGAAAGAAAGACATGGACATCTTGGATGACATGGGGGTGAGTAAATTATCAGCAAAAGTTTTTTTAAAAGTGAACTAATCCTTTAAGTAGATGTAGAAATCACTATAAAACAGAGTCTAGACACATTTAACAATACAAGAACACAAAAGTGTGCATATGTCTGTGCGTGCTAACATGATATGCAACATAATGTTTGTATGCATTGTGTTGTATCCTGTACAGTCCTGTACAGTTGAATCAGGTGTGTTAGATAAGAGAGACATCCAAAATGTACAGTGGTTCCCAGGACGGGTTTGAGAAGCACTGATTTAGACCTGGACTAACCAGTGTAAACCAGTCTGACCAGTAGGTAAACTCAATAGTTGGCTTGTTTATGTGCCGCAGGTGGAACGGGAAAAAGCATCTTTGCTCATCAGCTTGCAAGAATCACAGGCTTTGCTCCGCCACACGCAGGGGGCGCTAACAGAGCAGCACGAGAGGGCCAGTCGCTTGGGCGAGCGCTTTCGGAAACTTCGCCGCCGCAAGGAAAACAAGGAGGAAAAGGAGGACGAAGAAGAAGAGACACCGTGCGTCTCTGGTGGCCAGGAGGGGCCGAGTCTCGAGTTGCTGCAGTCTAAGTACAGGATGGCCGTGACGGAGGTGGTCGGACTGAAGGCAGAGCTTAAAGAGGTGAAGGATAGATATAATGAGTGCGTGGAGGCGGGAGCGCGGGCTGAGGAACAGAAGAAGGCGCAGCTTCAGGCGCTCGAGATGCAAGTGGTGAAGCTTGAGCGCAGTTGCAGGGAAGGCCGGGAGAAGTCGGTGAATCTTGAACGCGAGCTGCAGGCAGCCAATAACACGGCGTTAGAGACGCATGGGATTCTGGGAACCGCCCAAGATGAGCTGGCGACATTCAGCGAGGAGTTAGCGCAACTTTACCACCACGTCTGCCTGTGCAACAACGAGACACCCAACCGCGTTACGCTGGACTACTACCGGCAGGGCAGGACCCCGACGCGCATTTCCACCGCTGGCCTCAAGGGGCAGGACGACCACCGGGTGCTTTTGACCCCGCGACTCGCACGCCGCCTAGCGGCGATTAATGCCGCAACATCCGCAGAGTCGCGTAGCCCGTCTGACTCGCCATCCAAAGAACCTCTCACTGCTGAGCAGAGCCCGGTCCGCACGCCATTGGGTTCGCCCGTCGTTAGTGCCTCTTCCTCGTCATCATCCTCATCCCCAGCGCCCGAGTCGTCCACGGGATCCGATCTCCGCCGCGAACCCACTAACATCCACCATCTTAACGCTATCATCCGCGATCAGATCAAGCACTTGCAGAAGGCGGTGGATCGCTCGCTCATGCTGTCCCGCCAGAGAGCAGCCGCTAGTGAACTCGCCCCGCTAATGGATAAGGACAAAGAGGCTTGCATGGAGGAGATTCTCAAACTCAAGTCGCTCCTGAGCACAAAGAGGGAGCAGATCGCAACCTTGCGTCTTGTGCTGAAAGCCAACAAACAGGTAAGCTAATGAGCTCTGTTTATTACCCTGCATCCTATTGATTGCCATGAGGCCTGAGAGTATTGAACCATGGGAGTCCTTACATTGACTGAGATTTTCAGACTTGCTTTGTAGCTTACATGTTTCTTATTAAAACTGCTACATTTCTTGCATGGCTCTTGCAGTAGTCTTGCTTATCAAGATTTGTAACTATTGGCATAAAATCTGGTCCACTTTGCAGCTTATTCTAGCCAACGACTTCTCATTAATGTTGCTGTGTAGCTTCTACGCTTCTTTTTAAAACTGTTATGTTCCCAGATGGGTCGCTATCTTCCCACTTTGTAACTTACTCCAACCAAGAAATATTCACTTAGGCCCAATTCGGATGGGATTAACTTTACAAGGGTAGATGGATGGAGTAATGTAATTTTACCACAGGACGTCTGTAATATTAATGGCCAATTTGCACGGGATAAGAGATCTTAGTCAAACTAGCAGAAGTGGGACGGGTAACTCGATTTGCGTGCCACGGTCACTCTTGTCGTCATGTGCGTATTACGTTGCTTCCTGATATCACGTGCGCAAACACATATAACCTATATTTATATATATATAAAACAGTTTATGTCCGGTCGAACGATGTATTAATTACCTTCAGATTCGATTATATTGGTAATAGCTACTTACCTATAAAATAAAAATAAAATTTTGTATCAATTTATAGGCAAGACAAGTAGTTTGTTTAGGCATGGTTTGTAGGGAATTAATACGCATGTGAACGCCGTCAGCGTTTATCACAGGTCAGTTTAAAGTCTGTTTAGAGAGAACGCCGTCGTCTTAGCGGCCCCTAGTAATTTAATAACAAATGATCATTTCGACGGAAGTGAATCAATCAAAACTAACTTTAGCTGGAAAATAACATTATTCAAGAACCGCTATAAAACCAAACCAATCTCTGTTACCTTAAATTATATGTTTATCTCTGTAAAGCTGCTTTGAAACAATCTACATTGTTAAAAGCGCTATATAAATGAGGATGACTTGACCTAACGCTAAAAGAAGTGTCGTGCCTCTAACAAGTGTTTTCGATCTTCTTTCTGATCTGAATGGTGTGTGGAAAACACTTGAGTTTTGCCACAGACTCGTCCCAGCGTCTAAAACGCAAGCGTCTCCATACTTGAAAAATCGCGGGAAACTACTTTTAAACACGAAATGACGAAATATTTACGTACATATTTACAGCGGGTCTATTCGCATTAGTATTATTTTTCCGGACCTTTTTACTAAAGGTAAAAGTCGCCGTAATTTTTACTGACATTGTCCGTAATGATGATTATACTGAGATGCACATTCGGACGGGACTAAAAACACTGAGAAGCTCTGGTAATCATTACTTTAACGTTACCTCACCTCTCGACGTTAAACTAGTCCCGTCCGAATAGGGCTTTTGACAGGAATAGACCATCTGACCCGATTGTTAAATGGTTTAACAACCAGAGTTTGTTTTAAGGTCGTTTTTTATACTGATATAACACCCTAAATGCTCTAATAGGACCCACAAATGAACTGAACTCAACCACCTCACCTTTTGTGGTTTGATTCATTCCCATTTACACAAGTGCCTCAAACCAAACTGAATACCTTTCAAACAGTGTATGCCGCTAATCTGGCAAACGTTGGCACATCTAGCGATTAGTTCTTTCTCAAAAGCTCCCCTACGTTGTAAACATGACTTAACCGCTTGATTAATAGCTAGTAAAATGAAATGTTGATGAAAAGGGACTGTTCTATCCGACACATCATTTCGTTCTCCTTGTTGGCCACTGTGTAATATAAAGCATGTTGCATGACCCTTCCAGGCCAGAGATGATTAATGGACATTACGATTTATAGATCCCACAGCAGAGAGAAAGTGCTGTGCTATATGGGCCAGCAAAGTAATTACTACATCCATTATTATGTGCAAAACAGGAGTTCTTAGTTACTCATATGACAAGCGTTCACTTGAATGAACAGTTCATGTAAAATTAAGTTTGATTATGAATTCAAGAAAATATTTACCCATTATTCTTAAAGTGCGCTTTCTAAATCAAAGCAATTACTTGGTAAATATATCCCATAAATCAAAATGTAACATGGTTTTATATCTGGGATTTTCAAGTAAAAGAAAATCTAATTGCATCCTTGGTATTGGTCGTGATGAATCAGGGCTTTCCTATGTGGTCTATATTAGATCAGTAGTGGTTTATGTAAGGGTTAATGCCCTTCGAGGTGTCCATTTTCAGGTATTAATGGACGACGGCGAGGCGTGAACCGAAGTCCATTAATACCTAGACAATGGACACCTCGAAGGGCATTAACCCGCTTATACCATGGTCACTTGCCAAATAACACATTTTTAAAACATTAGTTTATATTTTAATTCGTTTTACAATCGAAATCTAAAGTTTTTAACAAACAATAACTTGGTTTCCCTGGTTACGCCTGACGGTTTATTTAGCAACCGGAGATATTTATAGTCCGCTCAGCTCAGTTTAGCTAACTTACGAGCCAGAAAGTTAACGTATTTTACGTAAAATTCTCCAAAAAGGTAAAAAAAACAATAACGAAGTCACTCATTGTTGTATTAGTAGGCTATGTATAACGGCTAAGATGTTTGTTTTGATACAATAAATTGTAAACGGATACTTTGACTGCCTGTTGCTATGGTTACTCACAGCTGATTTAATTTCGAACGGTAAACAGTCAGTTTCACCAGAACTCCTTAACTAGGAGTCCTCTATCACTTTTTAATGGACACCCTGCAGCCAATCAGATTCGAGTATTCACCCAGACCATTGTATAATAACTCAATATTTCAGACTCGATGTTGGTTGTAATGTTCGCGCGTGTTTCACAGACGGCGGAGGGGGCCCTGGCCAACCTGAAGAGTAAATACGAGAACGAGAAGACCATGGTGACGGAGACCATGATGAAGCTGAGGAACGAGCTGAAGGCGCTGAAAGAAGATGCAGCCACGTTCTCTTCCCTCAGAGCCATGTTCGCCACACGGTGAGAAAACACACCATAACACTATAATCAAACTGACTACAGTGAAGCTATTTAACGGTGAGCAGAAATATATTTTTTAAAGGGGACCTAAAATTCGCTTATAGAGGGTATGCGTGTGACGTCACCGTCGGATGGAGTGACTGCGGTTACACACACTGAGTGGCAAATAGACTGAGAATTTGTTTTCAGCGTGAATGCCGCGAAAAACACACAACACACATCTAAAATGGGGAAGAGATTGACTGAATAAATAGATTTTACAAGAAACCTGAGGTATATTTTTACAGACTGTCGAAAGCTACAGAACTGGGAAGCAAATGGATCGCTGCAATTCATAGAAACAACTGGACTCCAGGCAGAAAAAGGTGGATTTGCAGTTATTATTTTGTGTTAATATGCTGAATTAAGGGGTCAAATCATACCCTATATATTGTATTGTTATATATTGTATTGACAACTCATTAATTACACATTTACCATCGTATACGGCATAATTAGATGTTTTTAAATAAAGACTGACAACACAGAAACTGGACGATATGATGATATATATAACATTGATATGTTCACACATATTATCACATGGATTTAGACCTAACGTTACCTATATTGTGTTTATATAAAGCGTTCACAGGCAAATTTGCTTTGTGTATTTCGCCGGCATTGAAATCAGGCACATGTAAATGTCAGGATACACAATTCAATATCAATATCCACGGATCACTGGATCTTTGGTAAGTTGTAACACTATATCGAGTCCAACCTTTAGTTTAAACTGATAATCGTTTGTTTTACTCATGTTTCCCCTATTAAATCCAGTCACAAAGCAGCTCTTTTGCCACTCAGTCCGGCTGAGGGACTGTGTTCCCACGGAAAAGTGACATCAATGCATACCCTCTATTGTTTTTGAACATATTTATGTGTCCGCAGTGTGTGTTCACAACCACCCTATTGTGGTAAAAATCCATCCACTTCGTTTGTAGTTGTTTTCCCATAAATCTGAAACAGTGTCTCAAAATGAGCCGTTCAGGAATGTTCTCCAATGTGACGTCACATTTGAACAGGCCCCGCCCACAATCTCCCCTATTTGCTTAGCTCCTCCCCTCAGTGAGCTGTACACAATCCGTCATGTTTATCTCCTTGCCAGAGCATTTAACAGCAGCATTCAAGTAAGAAATGTATTCTTATTAAAGCTGCTAAAGTTACTCAGTCAAGAGCAGTGAGTGATTTTCTGTTTTTCTTTTATTGTTTAATTTATATTAACAGCATTTATATTAACTACTTATACTTTAATACACAGATCTAATATACACATGTAATTTCTTTCCCTGCTGAAACTTTACGTTCACAGACATTACTGACCAATATATAACTGTGTTTTGACATAATCTTGTGTGTATTTTACAGTTTAAGGACAATTTTGACAGTTTAAGCGCAAGACATGAAAGAGTACTTAGTTTAGAGTATCTGAGGCTTGAGTTTTAAAGGCTTCGCCCTATTCTGGAAAAGGGGGCGGGGGAGCAGCAGCTCATTTGCATTTAAAGATACATGCATGAAAACTGCATGTTTTTGTTTCAACTCAAAAATGGCCATTTACAACATGGTATAATAATATATTATATATATTTTGAGCTGAAACTTCACAGACACATTCTGGGGACACCTGAGACTTGTATTATATCTTGTAAAAAGGGACATAATAGGTCACCTTTAGGTTTAACGTATAACTATTAAATAATAATTTTCAGAGCATTTCGGTTAGGATGAAAACATGAAACGACATTTGAACAGGAAGATTTACAGCCTATAAAGATAGAAAACGCAGTGATAAACAGAAGAAGCTAAATATTTCACTACAAAAAGGACACATGACTAAATCAGGAACTCAACTGAATCATTTGTTCACAACCAGTTCATTTAAAGGAACCATCCGAAGACCAAACCGATAAATACTTCACAATACTACACTACTAATATTTAACACGCAGCCCAAATACGAATTTCTCCTTTCTCTCGGACCAGGTGTGATGAGTACGTGTCTCAGCTGGACGAGATGCAGAGACAACTCGCGGCGGCTGAGGACGAGAAAAAGACGTTAAACTCTCTCCTCCGCATGGCCATCCAGCAAAAACTCGCCCTCACGCAGAAACTGGAAGACCTGGAGTTCGACCAAGAGCAGACGCACCGGCCCCGCATGGGAAAAACAACCCGGCTGAGGACCAGCACGCCTAAAGTAAGTGGAACGCCAGTCCCGCCCCTTCCCGACACCCCTTTGACAATTACCGAAGTCCTTACGGCAGCAGCCGCCATCACGTCGCCCACAACACCCAACTTTACACCCGCCCCAAACAGCCCACCCTCGCTGGAGGCCCCGTCCTCTCCCGCATCGTCCTCGTCCTCCTGGACACCGTCAACCACGCCGTATCGCCACTGGACCACGGGCGTCCGGGCGTACGTCGTCGACCCGCACTCTTCCACACACCTCCCAACTCACAGCTCAATCCTGGCCCGCCGATATGCAAGCGAATCGCACTATTCCCCAGGCTCCGCCCCTTCCTCGCCCTACCGATCCCCCCTTTTGGCAAGTCGCCGCTCCATGTGGAGCTCGTCCCAATCTCGCCCCCTTCCCAGCCACTTCCAGCGCTCCACGTCTCGCTACACGCCCCCCTCGTCCACCTACACCCCTTTGTATCCCAGAAACTACGGTTCCCAGCATCCCCGCTACTGACGGGTGCCGCAGAGAGGAGGACACACTGGTTTCTGTTTTGAATGTTTCGCTTTTTTTACTCAGGGATTTAAATGGAGCACAAGTGGCCCGGCCTTCTTCAAAAGAGACTGTTGATCAGTTCTCAGGACGAAATCTGATACGCGTGGACTGTTCGAGTACACGTCCGAGAGACAGATTCAACGGGACATTACATTGACAGAATCGGCTTTTTGTTTGGGGTTGTTGGCGTGTATCAGGGTGAATGTGTGTAATTGTCACGGTTTTTGAACACTGAAACCTTCGCTGCGTGTGTCTATCATTATTTTTGTTCGTACAGAGAGTCAATTAAGCAACAAGATTTTATATGAAATGCCAATTTCAGTATCATCTGAGAGTTTAGGTCGTGTATAATCTGAGAAAGCTGGCTATGTTCGGAATAAAACACAGTATGTACAATGCCTACCGTTTTTAAAAAAAATAGTATGCATGTGCATTTCAGAGTAAACCTGCTACTACATTGTCAGTTGATTTTATATGTTCATATGTCATTTAGTTATTATATTTAAATTATCAACGCTTAGTTTGCATTTTTTATCTTATTTTACGTCAACGTCTTAACTTTCAAATTCTGGCTATGTACTAAATGTAATACTAGCACACTACTGTACTTACTGCATACTGTACGCTATACTACATACAACCATTTGAATTATTTCCTGTTGCAATATTTAAAATGTTGTTACATGATCTCAGTAGGTTGCGTTTAATTTACTTATGCCAAATTTAAATCTGCATTTTTAATTCAGGTTTGTGTAGTGGGTTTTCTATGTTAGTTACACACAGTCCTGTGCACAGTATGCATACTGCAGCATGCTATTCCAAACATAGCCATAGTTCGTGTTGTCACAGTGCCATCCAGTGGATAAACAGTATAAAATTGGCCCAGCCCATGTAATGGTGAATGTGCAAAAATTGTTGAGTCACATTTAGAAAAATAAAAAGACACCATTTTACTTTACAGTGAGCCTGGGTCAGATGTGAAGTTGCTTCAGATAATGTGCTTACAGAAATGCGATAGTGACACTGCATTGAATGTATGTTAATGATGAAGTGATGCAAATGACTAAATTCTCAGGGAATATCATTCATATTGTCAGCTGTGTAAAGGTGGCATTAACATCATACCGTTTATTTACAACACATATGATCTACAGCAGAATAGATGCAGTGCTCCTGTCCGTGTTCTTCCGTCTGTTGTCATTTTAAACACATTTTTAAACACTCCCCCTTTTGTTTTTCCCCTTACACATTTACATTTTGGCAAAACACCATACTCCAGAACTCAGAGCCAAATAACATGCTGCCAAATAGCGTGTCAAAAAGCACTTAGAGGGACATGCATGGGCCCAAACATCTGTTAAACGTCTTTTCTGTCCAAATATTGCTGTATTTAATGAGAGGTGCCTGTGTCCCTCCATTACACACCGTATGTGCTCATCGTAGTCACTTGACAAACCTACAAAACATCACACAGCGCTCAAAGCATTTGACAGGTATCAATCCCTCAACTCGACCCTGCCATGATTTCCCTGCATGCCATTTTAACTGCTCGTTTCAGCTAAACACATTTTCAAATTTATTTTTAATAAGTGGGTCATTCTACAATTGCTGCAATTATTCCTTTATAATGTTTAAAAAATAAATTGTAGTTCCTAATAATATATATATATATATATATATATATATAAGTGCAGTCAAGTCGATTAATCGCGATAAATTGCATCTAACATAAAAGTTTGTAAATATATAATATAAATGTGTGTGTGTGTGACGTATATATATATATATATATATATACACACACACACACACACATATATATGCATGCATACATACAGACATTTATGTTAGATGTGATTAATGACTATTAATCGATTTGACACTAATCAATTAATTAATCGAGCACTAATATATATATATATATATATATAAAATTAAATAATTTGAATGGAAATGTCACTGTGTTTGTAGAATGACCCAATTCAGCATTTAATTCATTAATGCTCACACAGGCCTCAGTATTGCATGAAATTGAGTGTAAATTTTAGTTTAGCTCTATATTTGTGATTTGTCGATCGAACAGTGGAACTGTAAGTAGGGGGCGATCTTTAAAAAGTATCAGAGAGTATCTTTTCCTCTATCCTTGCTCATTTTAATGTGTAGTTTTAAGCTGATTTCCCTGCATTTAAGAAGTCAAATGGGTGAAATTGATTGGCATTTGTTTTGGTTCATACCGAGGGCTTTATGTAATTATCTGTGATCAGGTGAAGCAGTTTTAGGAGCGTGTCTTTCAAATCAGGACAGAAACCTTGTGAGACCTCCTCTCTGTTGCACCCGCGCACCTGAGGCCTGAATCACACACACACACACATGTATGCACATGATCACATGATCATGACATCACCGCTGCACATCTCCAAACTCTTATTCTGACTGAAACCTGTCAAATGCTTCCCGCTTCCCGCATCTCTTTGGTTCTCTCATTCATGACGTCCATCTGCGACCATCTGCACTACTGGAGTCGTAGATGAGTGTGTTTTCTACTGTGTGTTACTGTAAACTAACAGCCACTTTGTGCAAACGCAACACTTTTTGAGGACAGACTGTTATTCATGTCACTGAATGTCCCTGTCTGCTGTCATATGCATGTGTATACGGGAAAACACTGTATATGTCTGTTGTTAACTGGACTGTAATGTTGTATATTCTTCGTATATACTGTAAATAACAAGTATAAAATGCATCGATTTGAGTCTGCGTTCTCATTACAGTTGGGACTGTTTTTGTAGTTTGACAAGCAACATTATATCTTGATATTGGAAAATGCACCTTAAAACTAGCCTAAGGTTGGATTCTAGCTGGTTCATGCTGGTCCAAACTGGTATCTAAGGGATCTGACTGGGCTGGTGGACCATCTTGGACCAGCAATAAACCAGCCATTTAAAAAAAAAACATGTTTGTCATTGATGGTGCTAAAGCTATTATGTTGCAATAGAGAGGTAAGTAAAGGCTTGCATATTTTTTTTGTCAAGAATATATTACAATAATAATAATAATATATAAATGATATCATCAATCAAAGCATGCATGTAACATTCTTAGGTACACAACAAAGGAGTTTGAATTTTAAATAATTTTCTATTTTAATACATTGTAAAATGCAATTTATTCCTGTGATCAAAGCTGAATTTTCATAATAATGAGAAATGTTTCTTGAGCAGCAAATCATCATATTAGAGTGATTTCTGAAGGATCATGTGACACTGAAGACTGGAGTAATGATGCTGAAAATTCAGCTTTGATCACATTACACTTTACTATATATTCACATAGAAAACAGTGGTTTAAATTGTAATAATATTTCAGTTTTTTTTTTTTTTTTTTTTAACATACAAAAATCTTACCGATCCGAAACTTTTGAACAGCAGTGTATGAGCCAGTACTGCCATACTGTCCTTTTACATACATATTGAAAAGCATGCACATATTGGGCCAGGGTTTAGTGTATTGTGTGTGCTCCTCTTGTCCCGCTGCTCCACACTGTCCTCTAGCTGTGGAAGGACTAATCTGTCAGTCTCTTGTAGATAGTCAGCAGTCTCCTCCTGCCTCAGTGCCACAGCTCCACAAACAACTAAACACACCGGAGACGCTTCGCCTACAGGTAACCAAGCCCCTCGTCAGGTTCAGTGCGGTTCTATATAGAACTCTAGGGTTCCAGACTCACTTTTAAAGAACCTTTAATGCCAGAAAGGTTCTATATAGAACTCTAGGGTTCCAGACTCACTTTTAAAGAACCTTTAATGCCAGTGCGAGTCTATATAGAACTCTAGGGTTCCAGACTCACTTCTAAAGAACCTTTAATGCCAGTGCGGTTCTATATAGAACTCTAGGGTTCCAGACTCACATTTAAAGAACCTTTAATGCCAGTGCGAGTCTATATAGAACTCTAGGGTTCCAGACTCACTTTTAAAGAACCTTTAATGCCAGTGCGAGTCTATATAGAACTCTAGGGTTCCAGACTCACTTTTAAAGAACCTTTAATGCCAGAAAGTTTCTATATAGAACTTCCAGACTCCCTTTTAAAGAACCTTTAATGCCAGAAAGGTTCTATATAGAACTCTAGGGATCCAGACTCACTTTTAAAGAACCTTTAATGCCAGTGCGGTTCTATATAGAACTCTAGGGTTCCAGACTCCCTTTTAAAGAACCTTTAATGCCAGTGCGGTTCTATATAGAATTCTAGGGTTCCAGACTCACTTTTAAAGAACCTTTAATGCCAGAAAGGTTCTATATAGAACTCTAGGGTTCCAGACTCCCTTTTAAAGAACCTTTAATGCCAGTGCGGTTCTATATAGAACTCCAGGGTTCCAGACTCACTTTTAAAGAACCTTTAATGCCAGAAAGGTTCTATATAGAACTCTAGGGTTCCAGACTCACTTTTAAAGAACCTTTAATGCCAGAAAGGTTCTATATAGAACTCTAGGGTTCCAGACTCCATTTTAAAGAACCTTTAATGCCAGAAAGGTTCTATATAGAACTCTAGGGTTCCAGACTCACTTTTAAAGAACCTTTAATGCCAGAAAGGTTCTATATAGAACTCTAGGGTTCCAGACTCACTTTTAAAGAACCTTTAATGCCAGAAAGGTTCTATATAAAACTCTAGGGTTCCAGACTCACTTTTAAAGAACCTTTAATGCCAGTGCGAGTCTATATAGAACTCTAGGGTTCCAGACTCACTTTTAAAGAACCTTTAATGTTAGAAAGGTTCTATATAGAACTCTAGGGTTCCAGATTCACTTTAAAGAACCTTTAATGCCAGAAAGGTTCTATATAGAACTCTAGGGTTCCAGACTCCCTTTTAAAGAACCTTTAATGCCAGAAAGGTTCTATATAGAACTCTAGGGTTCCAGACTCACTTTTAAAGAACCTTTAATGCCAGTGCGAGTCTATATAGAACTCTAGGGTTCCAGACTCACTTTTAAAGAACCTTTAATGCCAGTGTGAGTCTATATAGAACTCTAGGGTTCCAGACTCACTTTTAAAGAACCTTTAATGTCAGAAAGGTTCTATATAGAACTCTAGGGTTCCAGACTCACTTTAAAGAACCTTTAATGCCAGAAAGGTTCTATATAGAACTCTAGGGTTCCAGACTCA